CCCCAAAACCCCAAAACCCCAAAACCCCATGGTCTAATTAAGAATAAATCAATCTTACATTTTTGAGAGAGTTAATAACAATAAATTATAAAGCAGGAGTATAAAATGTTTGCGAATAGACTGCACAACCTCTATCAAAAGAATTTTATTTATAATCCGGATGATCTACAAAATCATATTTAGTCTACTTATGATCAATTAGACTAATGCTTAGATAAACTAGGGCAATTGAGTGAAAATTTAAGCTAGAAAACAACTAAAAACAGATTTCATATGAGATTAGTAGACCATGTAGACGCGTTTCGAAACAAGTGCAACTCTTTGATATAAATCAAATAATACATTAAGGCTAACTTGGAATATTTTCCAAAGATACCAGTGGACCAATAAACCAACAATGCAAATCATAATGAAGGACATAACATAGATAACACCGAAGATATGAATAAATTAAAAGATTTAGGAGAACCTAATTTCTCCTTAGACGACAAGTAAATTGTTTTGGATGAAATGCAACATGATCAAGAATTTTAGGAAGATTTCGGCAATGCTTTGGAGTCTAAAAGAAACGAAGTAATGTAGAAACTTTAAGAAAATATTCTAATTGAAGATGAGAAAGAGATGGACATCATGTCTTAACGTAAGGATACTCAAAAATATGTAGCTAAAGTACTCGAGCAAGAGTAAAAAATGGAAAATGAAGAGTAAAAAGGAGACGTAGTCGATAATTTTGATTATCAGGAATCTGAAATTTGCTCTGTTGGCGACGTTGATTATGAATAAATTGATATCCCACCTTTTAACATTGAACTGTTTGCCTCATTCAATTAGAAGTTACTAAAGGGAGATGTATTAATAAATGTGAGTGCTACCACCATCATTTTTGAGATCTTTTAAAAGATTATAAAAAATATTGACGAGCATATTATGAAATTGATTAAGAAAAAGGAAATTGAATCTGTAGATGTCATGCTCTTTGTAATCCCCTACAAAAAATTAGAGCTAGCGGAATATTTGTTATATTCTGCTTTCAAAGCCAGATATGACTCCTTGTTTTATTAGTAGCAAACAACCAAAGATTGGAAATTGCTTAAGACTATTTATACAGAAGTTGACATAAAAAACCCTAAGCAATATCTCAAAGATATCAAAGGAATGATTAGTAATATGGCCTTAGGTGGAGCAATGTTAACCCAAGGGATGAAATCTAATAACTCATTTAGTAGATTTTTCAGAGCTATCGGATACTCAACCTATTATTTAGCTGCCAAAAAGGACAGAACTAATCAGTATCAATATTTCATAGCCAATCCAAATAAAGAGCATCTTGGTAAGATGTTCTTGATGCCAGACAGTTAGTTTGTTAAGAATATGTATAAAATCAACATTCCTAAAATTTTGCTAAAGTAAAAGATATATGTCCCAATGCTAACAAAAAAACTCAAAGTAGAGGAAGCTTAGTCTTATGAGAGAGAAGATCTGAGACCAAATAACTTCTAGATGCCTATATCTAATTAAACTGTTGAAAGAAATTTTAAAGATCCTTCCTATATAACTGATAAAAAGTTATTTGTTCAATAGTAAGTTTCAAATATTTTTATATTATATAGGAAAATGGTAAAGATTAGAATTAATAGTAGTATTCCTTTAGATGTAGACTTCAAAACTAGGAAAGTTAAAGAAATCGCCATTCCTAAGCACCAGCATATAGGTTGCTGTCTCTGTTTCTTTTCTTAGAGAAAATTGAGCAAGCCTATGCAAAGAATTGACAAAATTATTATTCATATTCATGGTGGTGGTTTTGTCACTACTGATTCTTGTTTGCATTAAAACTATACCAGACTTTGGTCTAATGATCTCGGTGTACCTGTTTTCTCGATTGATTATTCCCTTGCTCCAAAAAGCCCTTTCCCAGAGCCAGTCAATGATTGCTTTTAGGCATATTATTGGATTATGACTTAAGCAAAGCATCAGCTAGGTATAGATCCCTAAAATGTAGTTTTGACCGGAGATTCTGCTGGTGGCCATCTAGTATGCGCTGTTGTGATATTAGCAATTCTCAGAGGATTCTAGCTGCCAACTAGTATTGTTCTCCATTACCCTGCATTGATGCTAGATTTAAACTCTTTTTTCCCATCTACTTTGATCGCTCTTGATGATCCAATTTTAAGTACAGCGTTTCTTAAGTATTGCATCTCAAGTTTTGTTAAGAATGGAGATCCCAGGAAAAATCCCTTGCTATCACCATTATTTACTCCCAATAATATTCTATCAAAGTAATTTTACACTTATATTATTATCATTTTTATAGATTCCCTCCAACTAGAATTATGATATGTGAATCAGATCCATTGAGAGACCCTTCTTATGAATTTGCTTTGAAACTTAAGAAAAATAATGTTGATGTTAAGCTTATTCTCATGAAGGATTATATCCATGGTTTTGATGAACTTGATATCAAAGGTGGTATAAAAGAGTGTAGAAATGCTACCCTAATAACAGAAGATATTTTTAGAGAATTCCTTGATTTAGAAAAACCAACTAGAGGAAAATGATAGTCCAGATTATTGATTTAATGTTAAAAATAAAACTATTATCACAACCTGAATAAAAGTTAATTCAAATAAAATTGCATTTTTTAGTTCTTACTATATACTTAGTGAGGATATAAATGGGGTTTTGGGGTTTTGGGGTTTTGGGG